TGTCTAGAACCTCTACTTTGTGTCCAAAAATGCTTAGGAAGCCTTCAATGTTGCTGGAACTTAGGCCTTTTAGGTTTGGGAAAGATCAAACCAAAATAGGAAACTTAGGCTTAACTTTCCTACTTCAAGTAGGGAACCTTGTTTGAGTAGGAATCTTCATTCTTCTAGGAATCTTACGTCGATTAGGAATCCTTCTTCGATTAGGACTCCTTCGTTGATTAGGAACCCTTCTTCAACTAGGAATCCTTCAAATCTTCAAATCTTCAATTTCGTCCATTCCTTTCGCTCCAAGCATGTGATATCCAATCCCAGCTCAATTTTGCTCCAAAATGCACTACTTTGCATACTTTGCCCTTAAAACCTGAAAACACATGAAAATGGCTTAAAAGACTAACTTAACCAAGAAAACACAACATAAATGCACAAGAACAAGCTAACTAAGTCATATAAATATGCTCCTATCAAATTCCCCCACACTTAGCTTTTGCTAGTCCTCGAGCAAAACAAAACAAACAAAACAAAACAAAGCAAAACAAAACAAAACACAACCTAAACCTTTCAACATTTGCCTCAGGGATTTCCAATGCACATGACATGTTAAAAATCATCATTCCCACATATTTAAGTCATCTTCACACTTAAGCACATACTTAATCACAATCACCACTTTCTAGTTCACATTTAACTAGTTAAAACGATGTTTTGAATGTAGCAACATGCCTTAGACAATTTGCTCAATTCCTTACTAGATATGCACTCAATTTTCACACACATTTTCTGACTACACACCCTACACTAGTTATATGTGAGAAGATTAATGTAAACATGAAAGACTAGTACTCACATATGTTATAACAAAGAAAGCAATTTCTGGAGTTAGTAAGCATGTTTAGATATGATCTCATGAATGGAATGCTACTACTTTAATGCGAGAACCAGTGACACCATATGCTCATACCAAATTCAAACTCCACAAATTGAAACACACAACACTCAAGATTGAAGTCAAGGGTTGTAACGGGGCTAGGGGGTATTGGCTAACAAAGAAAGGATAGGGATAACAAACGTTCTTAAAGTAATAGCAAGCAAAGTAGTGAAATCGACACTTGGAATTCACTTTAGAATGCAGAAATCAACTTTTAAACACAAAGGGAAGATTCATGCAACACTTAGGGCTGAATTTAACTTTTTAGACCCTTTCTTCAACAAACAACACTTTAGAGATCTTTTTCACATCTTTTTCATACTTTTCACAACTTTTTTTTTTCCACAATTTTTTTTTTCTTTCTTCTACCCGTGCCTTACTATGGGCTTGGGCACACACACACACACACACAAGAATCACTTCCCCCACACTTGTTTTCTGCAATACATTGATCAAAAGGAATTCATTTTGAGTCATGCTTTACTATGCTTCAAGAACAAGGGTATGGATGGTCCTAATCTAGGCGTGTGGATAATGTGGGTTAACAAACAATATAGGCTAAACAAGGCTCAACGGGGTTAAACTTAAACACATAATGGAATAAGGTCACGGCAATTTGGCTTTGGTGGTCACTACACAACTTCACCTTGAATATGTGTTATGCAAATCAATAGCATGCTTTGAATGAAATGGGCATGAGTTCTAGCATTTGGAACTAAATGATGAGACGCCTTCTAAGTAGCAACCAAGCAAAGAATAATGAGATCATGCAATGACTTTAGAAAACAATAATGCACAGATTATCAACTTTCTAAATAAACGTTTAGGCTCAAGTCTCACAAGGTTGTAGCATTAATTTGAGTTCCTTCCTTCAAGCATGTTACAAAAACTGATTTTCTTTTATGATTGCATGTGAATTCATAAGTTATAACCATAACCAAGTATAAACCAAAGAGTAAATCAAACTTTCATCCATGTTTATAACTCTCTTTAACAGTCATGCAATTAAAAACCAAATCCTCATCATTGTGTTGGAAAGTACCCTAAGACACAAACAAACACACAAAAACAATTCAAAAACAACTTTTTTTGGGTTTTTCAAAACAATTTTTCAAATTTTTATGAGATTTTCGGATTTTTATGTCAAAACACACTAAAATGCCCCAAAACAGCTTAAAAACACTTAAAAACAGCAAGGAACAACTTTGGAAGTTATGGGTGATAAAATCCCACAAATTTGCATCAAAAGCACTTATTTACCCCCCCCCCCCCCCACACTTAATTCAAACATTGTCCTCAATGTTTCAAGCATAGACTCACATAAAGCCAAGTAAACAAACAACCAACTAAGTAACTAAACATGACAAAATATAAACAACAAAGAGAAGGGTTTAGGAATGCAAATCTGGAAGTGGAGTGATTCCTAGGTCTTCCTTTATTGAATGCATGGGTTGCCTCCCAAGAAACGCTTGCTTTAACGTCTTGCAGCTGGACGAAGAACACATTCACTCCCCATTAGAGCCCACGACATGCAGGGAGATATCATCCATGACATGCTCCTCAAAGTTCTCATAATAGGGCTTCAAACGATGCCCATTCACCTTGAATTCGTGTCCCGTTTTCAAGCTTTGGATTTGGACTGCACCATGAACAAAAACATTAGTAATAACAAACGGTCCAATCCACTTAGAACTGATGCGATGAAAATTAAACACTCAAATTAAACCCTCTTGTTGTCAAATTGTAGTATAAATGCAAGTAGGGATCGTTCTAAACCGGGGATTAGGAGGGCTTGCTAAAACCTCTAAACTGACTTAAAAACATATAAACAAAGTTAAAAACACTAAACTAGACTCAAAGAACTTAAAACAAACTCAAAGGACTCAAAACAAGCTAAAAACACTCAAATCTGCCTAAAAACACAAACTGGGCAGATTTGGACTCTAAACACACTTTTGGAAGAATTTTGGTTTCAACTTGGTTCGAAATACTTAAAAGCACAAACTAAATCAGTTTCTAACTAATATGACTTAACAAGGTAAATGGGGTTTTGGTTTTGATGAATTTGAAAACAAAACAAGTAAATTAAAGAACTAATAAAATCTGCACGAATTTGAGTAAATTGAATGGATGGAAGGCTAGCTAGGAGGTTCTTCTCCACACATGACATACTTGCACATAAACCAATTTTTCAGTTGTTCTTTCGATCAATCATGAAACTCAACACCCCAGGTTAATTAAGTCCGCTTAAATTAACCTTCAAGTTCTCCTTAAGTTATTGAATTGTGGCATGCCAAACCTTACAAATATGTTAGTTCTAATGAGATCTGCAACCACTTTAGAATCATTAGTCCGGGTGGCTTTTGCTTCCACCCACTTTGACACATAATCAATTGCAAGCAAAATATACATGAAACCATACGAGGAAGGAAAGGGACCCATAAAATCAATACCCCAAATGTAAAAAATTTCAACATTGAGGATGGAAACCTGCAGCACTTGATCCCTTGCACTTATATTTCCTGTTCTTTGGCATTTATCACATGTTAAGCAAAAAGTTCTAGCATCCTTAAAGATACTAGGCCAATAGAATCCACATTGTAACACCTTAAATGCTGTTCTTTGTGTGCCAAAGTGACCACCACATGCATATGTATGACAAAAGCTTAAAATGGAATGAAACTCAGAATCATGCACACATCGACGAATAATCTGATCCGGGCAATATTTCCACAAATATGGATCATCCCACACTTAAAACCGTGCATCATTTCTGAGCTTATCACATTGGTGTCTAGTAAGAGTGCTTGGAATTCGTTTAGACACAAAAAAGTTGACCAAATCAGTATACCAAGGTTCACTTACCTTAATGGACATCAATTGTTCATCAGGAAACGTTTCAGCAATGGGTAGGGACTCCTCATTATGCATCATACGGCTTAGGTGGTCAGCCACCACGTTTTCACTTCCCTTTTTATCTCGAATCTTAATGTCGAACCCTTGAAGAAGCAATATCCATCGAATTAGCCTTGGCTTGGCCTCATTCTTGCTGAGCAAATATTTTAAAGCTGCATGATCAGTGAAAACAATTACTTTAGTACCAATTAAATATGATCGAAATTTATCTAAAGCAAAGACAACGACAAGAAGTTTTTTTTTCCGTTATAGAATAGTTTAATTGGGCATCATTCAACGTCTGTGAAACATAGTAGATGACATGCGGCCTCTTATCCTTCATTTCTCCTAAAACAGCCCCTAAAGCATAATCGGATGCATCATACATGAGCTCAAAAGGAAGGCTCCAATTAGGGGGAACAATAATGAGAGCCGTGGTCAACAACTCCTTGAGTTGTTTGAAGGATGCCGTGCACTCCTTATTGAAATCAAACGCCACATCTTTTTGAAGGAGACGGCAAAGAGGTTGGGAAACCTTTGAGAAATCTTTGATGAATCTTCGATAGAAACCTGCATGTCCAAGAAAAGAACAAGCCTCTCTAACCGAAGTAGGAGAGGGTAAGTGACGTACAAGATCAATCCTTGATTTATCAACCTTAATTCCTTTTTCAGAGATGATATGTCCTAAAACTATGCCTTGTTTAACCATGAAATGACATTTTTCCCAATTGAGAACAAGGTTAGTTTCAACACATCGTTCTAAGATCAAATTGAGATTATGCAAACAACCATCAGATGAATCACCAAAAACGCTGAAATCATCCATAAAAACTTCAATAATTTTCTCAACATAATCAGAAAATATGCTCATCATGCATCTTTGAAATGTGGCAGGTGCATTACATAAACCAAATGACATGCAACGATAAGCAAATGTACCAAAGGGGCATGTGAAAGTGGTTTTTTCTTGGTCCTCGGGTGCTATGACAATTTGATTATAACCAGAATAACCATTAAGAAAACAATAGAAAGCATAACTCGCTAACCTTTCAAGCATTTGATCAATGAATGGCAAATGGAAGTGATCCTTCCTAGTGGTGGCGTTGAGCTTCCTATAATCGATACACACCCTCCAACCTGTTTGGATTCGAGTAGGCACAAGCTCATTTTCAGCATTTGTCACCACAGTTACTCCGGATTTCTTTGGAACACATTGAACGGGCGAAACCCAACGATATCGAAAATAGGATAGATCATTCCACAATCTAAAAGCTTGATTATTTCCTTCTTCACAACTTCCATCATCGGAGGGTTGAGTCGGTGTTGAGCCTCTCGAGATGTTTTAGACCCCTCCTCCAAAAGTATGCGATGCAGGCAAGTGGTGGGACTGATTCCTTTGTCGGCCAATGTCCACCCAATTGCTGTTTTGTACTCCCTTAGCACCCTTACCAACTTGTCTTCCTCTTGTGCCGTGAGTGTGCTTGAGATGATGACGGGCAACGTCTCATCATCGCCCAAGAAAACGTACTTTAAATGGCTTGGCAATGGCTTAAGTTCAAGTGTAAGTGGTTGCACAACGGAAGGAAGTAACTTATTAGCCGAAACTGAAATGGAAATTGGGTCCAAAAACTTACCAGATTGTAGTGGCAATGATTCAAGGGCAGCCACCATCTCAATCACATCTTCATTAGGGGGTACGGCAAGGGAAAAAGTATTCATGCCGTGGGGGTGCATGGTTACTGCTTCATTGTTTTGAGTGTTCATTCCTCGTGCAATGACCAATTCAAGTGCATCGTTATTCAATTGTTTAAAATGGTCCTGCGCCAAAGAATTAAATACATCAATAGAAAAACATGAGTGATCCTTATTAGGATACTTGATAGAATCAGAAAGATTGAAATTGATAACTTCCCCATCAAATTCCATCGTCAAAGTTCCATTAAACACATCAATCTTAGTACGGGCAATTTTCATGAATGGCCGTCCAAGGAGGATGGGCAATGTAGGGGAATGGTCTGACTTATCCATTTCAAGCACGTAGAAATCCGCCGGAAAGATTAAGTGATTGACCTATACTAAAACATCTTCCAAAACTCCCTTTGGATAGGCATTAGATCGATCGGCCAATTGTATAATCACACCATCATTTTTCAATTCGCCTAAGTACATAGATTGAATAAGGCATGACATTTATAGATGCACCTAAGTCTAACATGGCAGATTCAAAATGAGTATTACCAATTACACAAGGAATGGTAAAACTACCTGGATCCTTGCATTTAATGGGCAGTTTACGTTGTAAAACAGCTAAGACATTTTCACTTACCTTGACAACCTCCTTGCTCGAAATTCTCTTCCTAGTTGTGCAAAGTTCTTTTTAAAAACTTGGCATACCTTGGAACTTGCTTAATTGCATCCAAAAGTGGTATATTGACTTGAACTTTTTCTAAACGTTTCCAAAATATCCTTTTTTCAGCCTCCTCTTTCTTTGATTGCATAAACCTACGAGGAAAGGGTACATTTGGAGAAACAACGTTAGAATTAATCAAAATTGGAACATCCTTACCTCTGTTGGCCGAATTGGATGGTTTAGGAGCATTTGGGACCTGCGGCAAAGGTGTTTCCACCCTTGCCGTGGGGGTGCTTTGCTCCTCCTCTTCAATTATCAATTCTTCAACCTCGTTGGAACGTGATTTGGAAGGTTGGGGATCAGATCCAACTTGTTTTCCACTTCACAAACTCATGGCTTTGGCAAATTCGAACCCTCCCTTCGGGTTGACAACGGTTGAACTAGGCAACTTACCTTGCTCTCTGAATTGTCCTACAACCTCCACAATTTGCCCAATTTGCTTCTCCATTTGGTCCACCCTTTTGTCTTGGTTTTGCATTGCTTTGGCTTGATTTTCTTGCCCCTAAGACAAATTGGTGAGTAACTTAAGAAGTGTGTCATTATCTAAAGATGTACCTGAAGTGTTTTGGGCAGGTTGTTGTGGGGCTTGTGTTGGTGCGTATTGCTTGGTATAGAAGCCCAGAGGTTACTGCCTAAAGCCTCCTTGTTGTTGGGGTTGTTGGGGCTCCCTCCACTTGAAATTTGGATGGTCTCTCCAACTTGGATTATACGTCTTAGAGTATGGATCGTTCATTGGCTGGTTTTGGCTTTGAAATCCAATTGCATTGGTGCTTTCCAATCCACCATTCTCAATCAATTGAGGACACTTTTCAGAGGCATGTCCTTGGATAGAACACACGCCACATACACTTGGTCCTTGCAGCCTCATTCTTTCGGCCATCTGAGAGACAATGGAAGTAAGATTAGCTAATTGCGATTGAATGTCGGATGTGGAACTTACCTCATTCACTTGTTGCCGTGGGGTGTCCCTTTGCCCAATGCCTTCATATTGTTGTGCATTCAATACACGGTTTGCAATTAGTGTTTTGGCAGCCATGGGTGTTTTGTTCCGCTAAGGCATCTAGCATTTGGCATTCAATTGGTAAAAGCCCTTCGTAGAAATATTGAAGAAGAAGTTCCTCATTCATTTGGTGCTGTGGACATGAAGCAACAAGGGTTTTTAAAACGTTCATAATAAGTTGGAAAGGATTCACCTTGGTTTTGCTGAATGCCACTAATCCTTTTGCGTAGAAGAATGACTCGAGAAGTTGGGAAAAACTTCTCCAAAAACGCCCGTGATGTGACAGTTCCGGAAGCTAGTTCATACAACCAATCTTTAGCCTTGTCCAAGAGAGAAAAAGAAAAGGCCTTCATCTTCAAAATGCTCCCATCAACATTCTCGGGAGTCATACTCGAACAAACAACCTCAAACTCCTTCAAGTGTTTATTAAGATCTTCCATGGATAGCCCATGGAACTTAGGAATATGGTGCAATAGGCTAGACCTTAATTCAAACTCATTGGTCTTCCCTTGGGCAGCCATGGGGTATTGGATGCAGAGGGGTACGGCATTGTCCAATCCCGAAGCAGAAAGCTCCTTGATTGTTCGATTGTCCACTGTCATCACTTATACTTCTTCAAAAATCCCTGTCGTGGCCTCCTCTTGCTCTTCTACTTCTTATTCTTCAAGCACGGGGTCAGGACTAGGTATATTGGATTCTTGTTGATTCATCTTCCTTTTCAAAGTCCGCTCAAAGTCGTCGTCAAAGTAAAAAATGTGCTCACGAACAGTTGAGAACTTCTAGTCATAAACTAGTACCAAAAACAAGAAAACAAGACAAGGTCAGAAACTAGAAACAAATACAAATGAAAATAAACAAAAAGAAATAACAAGGGATTAGCAAAGTTGCTAATCCCCGGCAATGGCGCCAAAAATTTGATGCGAATTATATAAGCACACAAATTAAACCCTCTTATATCAATTGTAGTAAATAATGTAAGTAGGGATCGTTCTGGACCGGGGATTAGAAGGGCTTGCTAATAACCTCTAAACTGACTCAAAGAATGCAAAACTAAACTCTAAAACACTAAATCAACTCAAAAGACTCAAAACAGCACAAAACAAGCTAAAAGACTCAAATCTGCCACTAAGAGTGAGCTTCCTATAATCGATACACACCCTCCAACCTGTTTGGATTCGAGTAGGCACAAGCTCATTTTCAGCATTTGTCACCACAGTTACTCCGGATTTCTTTGGAACACATTGAACGGGCGAAACCCAACGATATCGAAAATAGGATAGATCATTCCACAATCTAAAAGCTTGATTATTTCCTTCTTCACAACTTCCATCATCGGAGGGTTGAGTCGGTGTTGAGCCTCTCGAGATGTTTTAGACCCCTCCTCCAAAAGTATGCGATGCAGGCAAGTGGTGGGACTGATTCCTTTGTCGGCCAATGTCCACCCAATTGCTGTTTTGTACTCCCTTAGCACCCTTACCAACTTGTCTTCCTCTTGTGCCGTGAGTGTGCTTGAGATGATGACGGGCAACGTCTCATCATCGCCCAAGAAAACGTACTTTAAATGGCTTGGCAATGGCTTAAGTTCAAGTGTAAGTGGTTGCACAACGGAAGGAAGTAACTTATTAGCCGAAACTGAAATGGAAATTGGGTCCAAAAACTTACCAGATTGTAGTGGCAATGATTCAAGGGCAGCCACCATCTCAATCACATCTTCATTAGGGGGTACGGCAAGGGAAAAAGTATTCATGCCGTGGGGGTGCATGGTTACTGCTTCATTGTTTTGAGTGTTCATTCCTCGTGCAATGACCAATTCAAGTGCATCGTTATTCAATTGTTTAAAATGGTCCTGCGCCAAAGAATTAAATACATCAATAGAAAAACATGAGTGATCCTTATTAGGATACTTGATAGAATCAGAAAGATTGAAATTGATAACTTCCCCATCAAATTCCATCGTCAAAGTTCCATTAAACACATCAATCTTAGTACGGGCAATTTTCATGAATGGCCGTCCAAGGAGGATGGGCAATGTAGGGGAATGGTCTGACTTATCCATTTCAAGCACGTAGAAATCCGCCGGAAAGATTAAGTGATTGACCTATACTAAAACATCTTCCAAAACTCCCTTTGGATAGGCATTAGATCGATCGGCCAATTGTATAATCACACCATCATTTTTCAATTCGCCTAAGTACATAGATTGAATAAGGCATGACATTTATAGATGCACCTAAGTCTAACATGGCAGATTCAAAATGAGTATTACCAATTACACAAGGAATGGTAAAACTACCTGGATCCTTGCATTTAATGGGCAGTTTACGTTGTAAAACAGCTAAGACATTTTCACTTACCTTGACAACCTCCTTGCTCGAAATTCTCTTCCTAGTTGTGCAAAGTTCTTTTAAAAACTTGGCATACCTTGGAACTTGCTTAATTGCATCCAAAAGTGGTATATTGACTTGAACTTTTCTAAACGTTTCCAAAATATCCTTTTTCAGCCTCCTCTTTCTTTGATTGCATAAACCTACGAGGAAAGGGTACATTTGGAGAAACAACGTTACAATTAATCAAAATTGGAACATCCTTACCTCTGTTGGCCGAATTGGATGGTTTAGGAGCATTTGGGACCTGCGGCAAAGGTGTTTCCACCCTTGCCGTGGGGGTGCTTTGCTCCTCCTCTTCAATTATCAATTCTTCAACCTCGTTGGAACGTGATTTGGAAGGTTGGGGATCAGATCCAACTTGTTTTCCACTTCACAAACTCATGGCTTTGGCAAATTCGAACCCTCCCTTCGGGTTGACAACGGTTGAACTAGGCAACTTACCTTGCTCTCTGAATTGTC